ATTTTGAAAAGATTGCTCAATCTGTTCATTTGTCGAGTAAATCAATGTTTGCTGTGTTTTGCTGAACATTTCACATGTTCCTCAAACTCACATCATCTGAGAATAAAGAAACATATTCTCTATTTCCATTCAGAATAATATCCTCATCTTTGTTGTTATTATCGCGACATTTTGCTCATTGTGTCTTTCAGCCTTCTTCAGCTGTCTGTCAATCCAAATAATCTTCAGGGAATTTTGAACTGAACCCTTTATTTAATTTATGAAGGTAGAGGGTTCTCATTTCTCTGTCTATGTTAGGAATATTTTAATTTTATTTAGCACTTCTCAGTTATTGATCACCCAGTTTTACCAAGACAAAATCTATACTACCTGAACCAGGGATTGAACTTACTATTTACACTATTTACATCATTCAGACTATTGTCCTCATCTTTATTACCATATTCCCGATATGTCCTTGGACACATGGCCCAGTGGATTAGAGCAATCCAAAAAGTGACTTGACCAAAGAATTGTGAGTTCAATACCCGGCCACAGCAGAGAAAAGAAAAACTTGGAGAGTTGTGTTACTAAAGGGAATTAACTGAAACTGAGATATCCAAAAAAAAAAAAGCCATGGCATATGGAATTAAAACAATCTACCCCCATGAACTAAATAAAGAGTTTGGTTTGAAATTTCAGCAGATATCACCTGAAGAAGTCTGGAGCATAGAATGACCGAAATGTTGTGAATATGGCAATAAAGATGAGGAAAACAGTCTGAATGATGTAAATAGTGCAATATCTCATCTCAGGAATATAGACAGATATTACAATTACTATATCACCAAATTCATAAACAAATGATTTAATCCACCGAATTTGGAGCCTTAAAACAATACATTAAATTCAATTCCCACCCTCCATAAGTGTAAAGAAAAGGATTGTCTGTGCAAAATCATCAGTGGCAACCCATATACATACCAACAGGAGATGATCAGCATCAAATGCACCCTTCAGAATAACAACTACCCTTCAAAAATAGCATCAGTTTTTGCAGGCAGAAGAGTTGGAGATGAAAATTGGCAAACTGCCACAGTCTGTCTCCCTTACATCAAGGGCTTGTTGGAAAGGATTCAAAAACATTGAGGTCCATACAACAGCAGGATAATATTCAGAAGCAGCTTTAATTTATGGAGAAATCTCTGCCAAGTCAAGAAGAATATGACTAAGAACTGTATGTATGCCATCTCTTACAGTCATGAAAATGAATACAAACTTGAAACTTTCCACCCTCTCAAAGTAAAACTGAGAAACACTGAAAGAACATATTTAGGGATGAGATAATGGAATTGGGTATAATTCATCATGTATAGAAGGAAAAGGATGGTTACTAACCACTGTAGAATGAATTAAAAATATTAAACATAGACCATGGGAGAAGCGGACATATGACGGATTGATGCATATGTTAGGCTCTAAGCCTAGCATAGAAATAAATACTGTATGGAAGCCATTAATAAATAAAGAGAGATGACAGCAAGGCTATAGCAGCAGCTATAAGAAAAGAAAACGGCAGTGAATTAGATCAAGCATGCAGTAAAGAACGTTAACTTTAAGGCTCCAAGTTCATTATTGTCAACAGAAAAACTGCTTCATGGATTAAAACTATTTATAAATTTGGTGACATAATAATTGTGAGTTCAATCCCTGGTTTTCCCCTCAGTGGAAACAGGATGTGCAATTATTAAACAGTACTAAATAAGAACAAGGCAAGATGATATCCCAAACTGAGAACAATCTAGCCACAGAGATTAAATAAAGGATTCAGTTCAAAATTCCCTAAAGGTTACCCAGATCAACAGACACCTGAAGAGGCCCAGAGAGCACAATAACCGAAACATTGTGCTAACAACAATGAAGATGGGGGCATTAGTCCCAATGTAAATAATGGAAATAATGTGGAATGGACTCCAGCATGGATGCTTCCTTGAACATTATAATCTTAACCTTTTCAAATCTAGAATCAATCATTATTTTTCCTACATATCGTCATAGTCTTAATTTCCTACTCCCTCTTCTTATGTTTTATTACACACCTCATTCACTAGCCCTCAAGTTTGAGTGACTCTTAAGCCTTGTATTGGGTGAATATTAGTAAAAAAAAAAAAAAAATAATAATTAATTTTAGAATTTCAAATACAAGAAGGTTGAAGAATACATATGAACGAAAACAATAAAAATGATGACAACAGTCCAAATAATCTGTGGAATAATAAAAATGGTTCATTGCAAAACTTCAGAAAACAACTGCGGAAAACCAAATACCAAAAGCCCTGGAGTCCTTTCACCTGACAAGCAATCTTCACAATTTTCAAGTGACAGTCTCAAGAAGTGACAAGAGAAGAAAATGTCAGAAGCAAATTATCACAAAACCTTTTGAAAGAAACGTTTTTTTAAAAATAAAAACTATATTAGATTAAATAAATCCCCAGAGTTTACTATCTACTTAGAAAGTAGTTGAGAGTTCAGAATTGTTGTCTGCTCTTTGTTTATGACTGTTTGTTGCATTGTGATTTAGCAAACCAGATACGTTTAGTGAAAACTTAAAGCACAATTTTTGATATTATTTGGTCATTATATCTTTGTAACTATTCAATTCAAATTTTAGATATAAGCACAAAACATCAGTTGTCTCATGTCTGTGCCATGGTGTTTGTAACAATTTTATCCTTTAGTACAATTGACACTTATCTCCAGGACAGTTTGCTAATATAGAGATTATTAAATATGGCAAGTACTCAAATGATTGGGCCTAGTCAAGGTTGACTGAGTGTAACAGCTTGTTTCTACTGCCACTGCACAAAGTTTTTATGATAGAGTATTTTGCTATATTCTCTTATATACACTCTTCTCTATCAACTCTCATAGCATGCCAGTAACAAGTTGTTTTGTTAGATTCCTGCTTTTCTCAAGAGCCTTTCTGCAAAAAGAATGTAAACAACCTCTAGCAGAATAAAATTCAGTTTATTTTCCATGTCAATAACTGCTGTCTTTTTGCATATGCAGTGTCCCTTCAGGACGTGGGCTGTCATGGTTCTCCACAAATTCCTGTCATTTGTAGCTTTTAGCAGTTTCTGTCTTTTGTTATCTCTCCTAATACCTGTTCTACCAACCATTTATACAATTTTGTTAAGTAGGTTATTCACTGCTATCCCTTCTGCCTTCAACCTGTCCCGTGAATATCAAATTTTCTGAGCCCTATTTTCTCATTATGAGCCCTAGAAATTTCAACTATCTCTTTCTGATTCTAAGTATACTTTTTGTTTCCATTTTCTCTAAAGCTTTGTCAGGTTATGTTGTTTTCCTCTGTTTATCTTGATTTCAATCTTTCCTGTGAGTACTAAATTTTCCAAACTCTCTTTCCTCATCATATGCATTAGAAATGTCAACTTTCTCTTTCTGATGTTAATTATAAGTGTCCTTTTTGTTCCTATTTTCTCTAAAACTTCTTCATTGCTCACATGAACAATCTATGAAATTCTCAGCATCTTTCTTTTCAATTTCTATTGCCACAAGTCTCTTCTTCATCTGTGAAGAGATTGTTTAACACTCACTGCCATATAGGAGGGCCAATATTACATAATAGCCTAGTACTCTTTTCTTTGTTTCTAACAAAATTATTTCTGTTTTTTAATACTCTGCTTAACTTTTGGAAGGCATCTTTTGCTATTCCAATGCACCTTCAAATTTAAGTGTCGCATTTTCCTATATATATTTAAATTTTGTACATGCTTGATTTTGGTGTCTCCAAATTGCACTTCCTATCTTGGGTCGTTTCTTTTGTTAATAATCATCCTTCACTAGTTGTCCAAATTCTTCCAAGCTTACTGGAACAAATTTCCCAGTTCCTAACCCACTTAAAAAAGGCAGTTTAGATATTGATTTTCAAACTCTGAGCAATCTCTTAAGTCCAAATATCAGTTTATTCTCCAGGAAGGCAAGCATTGAGGTTGGAATGTCGCCCAGAACATGGTTGATCGTTTAGGCTAAAACACTGACGAAATCTGCCAAACAAACTTTTGACCGTCCGAAGAGCTATGGAACGATCCAAATAAACCTTTGGAATGTCGCCCAGAACATAGTTGAGCATTTAGGTTAAAAACACCCTTCCTAAATTTGGAAACAAGAAAAAGAATTGTTTCTCAGTATCCTTCTGTAGAACCACATTTTTGTTGTCTCAAGTCTGTTCTTCATCTATAAGAAGATTGTCCAGCATTCACTGCCATATTGGAGGACTGATATCATGCCATAGTCCAGCACTCTTTTCTTTGTTGCTCACAAAAGTTTTATAGAACATTCCCTATCTCCAATAAGCATAACTTCTTCACACTTTCCTAACATCTGAGAGCAGTAGATTTTTAAAGACATGACACTTTCTACTTGATGTTTTATAAAAAGATAGGATATGAGCAGAAAGAGATTTAGTTATTATTTCAATTTGTTAGAAATATGTTTTGTTTTTTTTTGTTTTTATCATTTCATCTCAAGCAAGGCAGTAATGCCACTAGTACGTAGGGGATTACAGAGAGTGAAAGTAAAAGAAAAGTCTGATAATAGAGAAGATTGAGGAAAGGACAAAAGATGAATAGTATTCAAGATGGCGATTGATGTAGCATTTAGATTTTTGAAGATTGTATTTATCAAGGAAACAAGTAAACAAATGGGAATTTCAACAGTCTGGGAAAAGAAACTGTTGGAGTAGAAGTGGTGGTTGCATTTAACTATTTCAACAGTAAAAGGGTGGGACCTAGATGCCAATCTAGTAGCACACTTAAATTCATGTAGTCAGAGCACCAGGGAAAAAATTTCTTCAGAGCAGTTGCTATAAAAATATTTCTAGAAAAGATAGAGAGACATCATGAGTTATTAAAAAACTGCATTTTATTCTCTGCAGAAAACTGTAGATTTAAAAAGTAGTATACTATTTTCTAGTAATGGGGTTAAAAGTTACTACTATGTCAGCCACATGGGATAGAGAGAGAAAGAGTATAAGAGAGAAAGAGAATAGTGGAACAGTTAATATCATAGATATAAACAGAGATACTCATGAAAGAGAAAAGTAGAAACAGATCAGTACAGATAGGGTCAAGAGAGAGAAACTGTTAAATATGAAGAGATGGGTGTTGGACAACTCAATACTGCCGACTCAACACCGGGGCAACTCAAGACCAAGACAACTCAGCATCAGAGAAACATAACTTTTTCATAACCAAATAAAAGTAATTTATTAACCTTAATTAGTGAATATTTTCACTTTATTAAAAAATAAATTACTCGATGATTTTCTTTATTAAAAATAATTAAAAAAAATATTTAATTTAATCTTTCATAAATTATTTTTATTCGGTTATAAAAAAAAAAAAACTTGTTTTCTGGTGCTGAGTTGTCTCAGTCCTGAGTTGTTCAGTTGTCCCTTCCAGAAGAGATTGCCAGAGAGATTGGCTCTGATAAGATAGACAATTACAGTTGTATATATAAACTGATAATTATAAAGAGATATGAACAAAATAAGAGTGATATGAAGAAAATTGATAATACTGCAAAATGTGTGTGTGTGACTACTTTTCAGTCTATTTTGATCTCAATATCTTCATATCTGTCAGTTTGTTTCTCTCTCTCTCTATATATATATGTAGATATGAAGAGAGAGAGATAGAGATCAAAATAAACTGAAAGAGAGGGGTAGATAGAGAGATACAAGAGATATGAACAAAATAAGAGAGTGTTAGGGATGAAAAAAGAAAGAATATATGTGTGTGGTGCATGTGTGAACAAACTTAGGAAGAGGAAGATATGAAGAAAGATATGAACAAGTGCAGTGAGAGAAATAGCTCTAAAAAAAAGAGAGAGAGAGAGAGAGAAAGAGATGTGAAGAACAAAGACCAAGACTGGAACAGACAGACATTGATAGGATCAGAATGAAGTAGATGAGAAGGGGAATGTGAGAGGGAGATGAATATATATATATATATATATATATATATACAGACTGACATAGACATGAACAACATAACATACCACATTTTAAACAGACAAGGACAGACAGAAAACCAAAGGGGGTGGGGAAGGGACGAGTAGAAAAAGAGATGAGAAGAGAAATTATGAGTATACACAACTATGCAAATCAAAATACCACACTCCTTCCTTCCTCAATTTCTACCATTTTTTTCTTTCATGCTTTACTATTGACCAAATTAAATTATTCTCACCACTTTCCCTGGCAGCAAGGAATATTTTATGAAAATAAAATATTTACTCAGCATTGTCATTGATTTCCGGATTTAACCAAAATTATTTTTTTGCAGTTATTACAATTCCTGAGTTGTCTGTGACTTTCTGAAAAATTCTTCATTTTATTATTATTATTTAGTTTCAAACTAAGTCAAATTTCAATCAAATTTAAATCCTCTTAAATATTATAAATAATATTTTTGTGACTTATTGCAACTCTAGTCAATTATTATTATAAAAATCATTTTCTTTATTTAACACCCCCTCATTATTTTTTTTTTATAATACTGAAGTGAAGAGAGGAAAGGGCAGATACTGTTGAATGCTGGTAGACATAGCAGTGAAGATAGTGTCAGCACAGATCATATCACCACAGTGATAGTGATAAGAGAAAAAGACGTAGACTCTACAGCACCAATAATGGTGATGGTGCTCTTAACACTTCCATTGATTATTCTAACTCGGATTATCATGTAACATTGTGAGAAGTATACTTTTGTCATTATCTGTAATATCATGTTCATCATTTTTAGTTATCTATACTTCAACAGTCCCCTAAAATGATCATAAATTTAATCAAATTTTCATCACATATGAGTAAGGAAAGGTGACTTAGCATTCACTTGACCTTTGAAAAGAGTTGACAACTAATATCCATCTCCCTGTAAATTAGTGTACTGTTCATTGTATTTTAAGTAAAAAGTAATGACTAAATTTTTTTTTTAAATACATAAATCATTAAGTCAATATAGCATAACTAATTTTCACAGAGTCATATATTTCTGTAACTATTTTTTGGAAGAGGCTTAATTACAGAACTTAAATTTTTCTATTAACAGATATTAATCACATCATCAAAATTAACTTTGGATAACAAAAATTGGCAATAATATCTGAAACCTGTTTTAAGTAAGCCAAAGTAATTTTTACATTTTTAGGTCAAATGGTGAGATTAATCATTTTCATACAGGAAACATTTGCCATTAATTGGCCAAACTATTAGTATTACTGTCAGTTGGAATTTATAAAATCTTTCTCTTAAGTTTTTCAGTAAAATTGATTTCTCACATCAACTGTTGTTGCTCTTTCTAGTACTGATGGGAGTTTCCATGCAAACCTTTTGTTTAAGACAGTGTGGAAATTAACATCTTGATTAAATTACTATTTTCCTTTTGGTTACATGTGCTACCCATTTTAGTTATTGTTGCTATTAAAAGGGTTCAAGTGAAGTGGGTTTTGTTATTTGTTAAAGTGCTTTCTTTGGGATTCTGTATTGCCACAATCCAATGAAGAATTCTCTTAAGACCTAGAGGTTCTGTTCATTTGAAGCCATTTTTAATCATTGATCTGACAAAATGCTTTCTTAGAGCTGATACTTTAGATATTTCTGAATGAGTTGATCAGCATGCATGACATCCATGAATCTAGATCTGACAAGGCTATTAAGAAGATGACTCAAGTTCTTAAATTAATATTATTGACCTATATATATATATATATATATATATATATAAAAGTATATGATTTTCTTGTTTGTAAAAACAAAATTAATACTGCATCTTATCTCAGGAGATATTACTATAGGTTTTAAAAATGTTATAATTAGTTTTTAAGCTTTAGCATTTTGCATTATCAATATTTCTTTCCTTTCTACTGCCTTCATTTTCAATTGCAGTATCCTTATTGTTAATCTCACTGAAAGTTATTTCCCGTTGCCATAGCAGGATATGACAACACAACTATGAAATTCAAACACACATTGTTCAGGGATCAGCATCACTTTCAGTGGCAGGATAAACTTTTCGTACAGCAAATGAAGTCTCATACAGAGCGATAAAGGTTAATAATAGAAAACACAATACCCTATTTTATTGATCCCCCACTTCATGTACAGATTTCTGAAGACAATTATAAATCTATTTCAAGTATGAAAAAGTTAATCTTTCTTGATATCAGTTTATGCATACATATTTTGTGTTTATGACTTCGTAATATAAAAGATGTATCAGATTTACTTAGATATTAAACAAAAAGAATGTGATATGCTTTATGCATTACATTAGCTATATAGAGATAATAAACATATAAATCAGTCTATGCATGCTTACATATATTTTTTCTTCTGTTAAATTCATAGCCTTATTATTCTGTCATCAACATTCTGGCTTTCTCTGACCTTACGTCACATTTTAATGAAAAATTTATATTTCATTATAAAACAATTCTTACAAGGAGTGTTGCAAGGGTGGTAAGAATTTTTTTTTAATCATTTCACCTCAGCAAAGGCAATAAATCCAATATGACACAAGGGGTTACTAAGTGCAAGAAAAAAGGATAAAAAGAAAACATTATTAAAGAGAGAAAACAGTAAAAGAATAAGAAGACAAAAGATATCGATTGACACTGATCTTCAAAAAATTAAATGCAAAGTTAACTGAAAAATAAGATAACAGAAGAGATTTCTATAAGCGAGAAATGTGAGAAAAGAAACCATTAGAAGTTATGGTTATATCTCAGAATTTCAACTGTAAAATCAGGAGATGCTGCCACCAATCCAGTAGTATATTTCAATTCATAAAGTTTACGTACCAAAGACGAAAGTTCATCAGAACAATTACCACGAAAATATTTATAGAAAATACAGTGGGAAAATAACTGAAACTGAGATGCCAGGTCAGGACAAATAACATTGCAGACTCTTCATTGGATTTTATCAAGAATCTCTAAATATATAGCAGAAGAACCAAAACAAATATATGGAACTAGTCTAAATAGATATGACTAACAACTTACTCTATCCAAGACAGTGAAAGTATAGCTACCTTCATTTTATTTGAGATGATTCGCAATTCACTTGGCCTAAGACTTCTTTCAAAACTACAAAAGAGTGAAAAGTCTCTTTGGTTGTTTTTTTTTTTTTAACTGAATTTCATTTGACATGATAAAATTTAAGCTACCATTATTTTTTTCCTGTTACTGGAGACTCCACTAAGATGTGACTTTGACAAAGACCTTTTGAGATGGCAGAATTTGATCTGCTATTGTTCCTCCTTTATTTTGGATTGCAAATACAAGTGACTAATAAAGGATATTTAGCCATTTTGATAGTATTTAACGTAAGAAAATTTTATGAAGCCTATTAAGGATGCAGCTTCATGCAATTTAAAAGTTCCACCCACCCTAGCTTAACAGATTCTGAAAAACTTTCAGGAAACCAAGAAAGAAAAGTAGAGTTGCATTCCCTGTTTGTTATTAGATTGTTGGGGTCTTTGAAATAGTGGCAAATCCTCATAACTACAATTACTTTTTCTTTTTTCTAGTTTGGTTGTTATGGAGAGTTAAAGTTACTATAACAGAATGTGATAGTTTTACTTACACCTTTTCTTTTATATGCCATATCCTTTCAGGATATGGTATATAAATAAGATTATAGCCCTCCACAGCTTTTGTTAGTCTCAATAACATTTTTTCCCTTTAGCATCCACCCTTCTGCCCTTATGTATAGACACATAGTAGTATTATGGATAACAGAAAATGAGAAATTGGAAAGCCGTGTTTGAATTCCAGTCAAGTTCATTACATTCACTTCTGCACAAAGTCATCTCACAGTTAAGAGATTTCTGAACAAGTTTGGCACTATGCATGGCATCCATATGAACATGACTAGTTTTTATGTTAATGTTTTGGTTTTGTTGCAAGTTATAATGTTTGGTGAAACTACTCCTAACACAGCCTATTCTATTGTTAAATGTTGATAGAAACAAACAAGGCAAGTATGAACATATAGTCAGTTAGTGTTTGATAAACAAATATAGTGAGATGAGAACAAATTAAGACACATGGATCTGATTAGCATAGTTATCTATGCTAGTCTAAACAGACTAATCTAAATAGAAACAGTCATACATGAAAAATGTCTGAGAAAAACTAAAAGAAATGTATGTATCTATAGAGATTAGATATATAGATGACGGGGAGATTAAGAAACAAGGCAGGAAAGAGGCTAAACCCATTTCTTTTGTTTACAACAAATAATTTAGTCATGATTTTTAGTTTGCTGATTTTATGTATAGTCTGCAAAAGGAGTAGTGACACATGGTCTGAAGGTTGCACGATGTGTGAAACTGATAGTCACCATCAGTATTGATTTCTATGACCACACTGTTTATATTCACAAATGCTCTATCTCCAATATTAATCACTCTTCTCAAATAATTATAGCAAATTTTAGATTCTCTACTTGTCTTTTTTTTAATCATTTCATTACAAGCAAGGCAATAGAGACACTAACACACAAGGGGTTACTGAGTGTGAAAGAATATGAAAAAAAAAACATTCAGAAGAGAGAACAATAAAAGAACAAAGAATTAATTAGACAAAGGATAATAATTGACATTACATTTAAATTTTTGAAGATCAAAGTTGAATGGAAAGCAAGAGGCTTTATGAGCTGTATAAATGCAATCTAGCAAATGAAAAGTGTTTTTGATGCAGTGAGTAATTTGAAGATATCATAGATGGGTTGGTAGTTCTAAAAAGGTGATCTTCATTCTACAGATGCGCATTGCTTGAGAAGAACGAAAACCCTCAATGAGAGACTTCTTGAAAGCAATAGTCGAAGATCAACATCAAAGCCTCAGAGAAGCTCTGCCTACAA